AAACTCATTCATTGAATTAATTTTATCAACCAACTATGTGCTTGTTTCCGGTGCAATGAATGAACTTCTTAATCATGTGATACATACGAACATTATCTTTTATCACTCGAACACAAAGGCGGCAAGATTACGAATGTACCAACGTAGTCATTAATTTGAGACTAGTCTATACTTGTTCTCTTCATTAACTTTAATTGCATTGTCATTACAAAATGACGTATTTTTTTAATCAAAAATATGCACGTGCTAAGTCACTTGTTGCCTACGAGTAACTAAAACCAGTCTTATTGTTAGGTAATAAAGTCAATGTTTAGTTGATTACGTTTACATTCCACACCTTCATATTCGATGCATGATGTAAAAAACAAAGTGAAGAATGCATAATTTGTCGTCAAGGAAAACTGAACATATTTCCAGATAGAAACAAATGTCACTATAGTTTACAAAACCGTTTTATTATAAAACCAGAAATAATTTTAGAAAAAAAAATGAAACAACTTACTAAATTTAAAACACCATTCGTCATTGGTCCAAGTCATTTAAAAAACCCACAATAAGATAATGTTCAAAGTCCTTTGCTTATAGGGTCAAGCTGGGGACACACTACTGGTAAATACGTCTTCTTTAAATAATTCTTGAGTCATATATGAGGGTCCGAGGAGTATAATAAGGTCAGTAGGTACCTACTACTATTTACAGCTTTTGATAATCGTAAAAATGGCTTCCAAACAACAGACCTGGCTTATGATTCATTGACTTCTTATGCTTGATATTAATGATGATGCTATGGAATCCCAAAGTAGATTGTAGAAGATTTTTCCTTTGAATTTGTGTTTGTATGACGTAGTTCAACACTGGATCGAAGTAGGTGGAGCATCATACCACCTTCGTCTCTGCACTGTTACTAAACATAACATCCCAGACAGAGACAGGGTAGACAGAGGTGCACATTATGCCACTGTACAATGTAACACTCACTTTTCACTATTTATGTTATGAGTCCCATGTAATAGGGGGTGAGCCTATTGCCATATACTGGGCATATTTGCAGACAGCGTTTACTACTGAAAATTTTTAAAAACCCCAGTAATACTTTGCCCGACCTGGGAATCGAACCCGAGACCCCTTGCCCGGGCGGCAGTCGCACTTGCGACCACTCGACCAACGAGACAGTCTATTACTAAACTCATGTATAAATTCTATTGTCTCACCGCGTGCGTCACAGTATGTATATGATGCAGGTAATGTTCTTATTACATAATAGACATTCGAGTACAAACAGTAGCTTGCAATATATGACACATAGTTAACATGACCAGACGTCCCGTTTTGAACGGGACTGTCCCTTTTAATTACGAGTCCCGTTGTCCCCGATTTGAACTCTGGGAAGTAAACTTGTCCCGCTTTTGGGAAAAACTCAAATAATTCATATTTTCGGTGTTACATAACTCATAATTTTTTTAACAAAGTAAAGTTTTTATGCTGTTAGTACCTAATGTAAACTTTTTTTAGGCAAAGTTTGTGTTTATAGGGTCTATAATAGGATGTAGCTAGCAGATGCCTGACTGAACCTAACCTAAATAAAGCTATGTCCCGTTTTGGGTAAAAAATAAATGGTTACGTTACACGTAGCACACTGACAATGTATTATAAAATTGCGTAAATTACTAATAAATTCTTCTTTATGACTTTGTGCGGTGAGTCACGAATTTTTCATTAATGATTATTAATAAGAGATTGCTCGTAAATACTAAGATAGCGTATTTTAAGAAAGATTAGCATGAGTCATAATTTTATATCGTTACTCATACAAGCGATTTGGATTGGAAATTGCTCAATGAAGTGCCTAAGATAACGAGATACGTAGTTAGAATGTGATAATGTAATTGTTACTTCCAGTGGCGTAATTCCGTCACGGCTCCGGGTGGCACATTAAACATGCTTTACAGAATAAATGTACGAAATGGAGGGTTGTTGACTTTGTCTGTGACCTTGAGTTGGAGCCCCTCGGAGCTAGGGTCCCGTAATTTATTATTTATACCCGTTTTGACGCCCTATTAAACATTAATTCACGGTCATACCCGTCTATTTAAGAAATTAGATTGAAATAATTGCTAGCCCAATAGTCATAAAGAATTTCGTCACTATTCTCCATTTCGACGTCATTCTGTGGTTTTAAAATACTTAGTAAATTTGTAAGTTCTTTTTTAAATATTTCAAATGCTTAGCTCACCTCTTAGTAAGCAGTTATTCCTTCCTGCATAATTTTAAGGAAGTTTCTCCAAAGAATTTTTGATGACAAACCATTCCACTCCTAAGTCTGGATTAGCTACGTTATCTTTTAAAAGCGGGTAATAAAGGATTACATTAAGGAAATTCACTGAAACTACATACCGAGCTAAATAAATAAGTACATAAATAATTATATGAATGCGTACATAGTTTAATGTATAATTTAAGTATATTTATTGTTTAAAGTTTGATGGGATAGGTATTATTAATTATTATAGTTTTCTAAATATCCGATTTGTTGTTTCAGTTTAGAAGAGTTAGTTAAGATTAACCTATGGAGTTTCTTGCTTATTCTTCTACTTACACATTGGAATGAGCAAATAGGTTCACTTTGAATGTTTTGTTGACGTTCAAAAGTGCGTTTCTGCTCTATGAAATAAATGATTTTGGTTTTGACAAAATTACGGGGAATCCTGATGTTATGTAGGTATGCTGTAAGTACCTTCCTAAGTACAATTATAACTATAAGTAAGTACATAATGGCACGTTAACTGTACGTAATTTTCCCGAAATAGATAAATATTTGTTCATGTAATTGTTATTTACGTTTAATTAATTTTGTATTTACTTACATAGATTACTCTGGCTTGAAATTCAATTCGAATTTTTCCTCCAATTTTGTTTCCAACTTTGTGTTAATTTTCACTTAAATTCTTACATTCTCAAAACAAATTCAATAATATTCTCGTCCTTTACTGAATTAAAGTAACTGCAGATACTTCATACACATACAAGTCTCTGGAATCTAAATAACAACCCAGATTTTATTACCAACATAAAATTGTATTAACTTATAATGAAGTAACAAACATTCAAACACATTTTCATACCCATAAAAGGAGCTTCGAGAACATGTAACACCAAATACAACGGTGATCAAATATCCTGTGCATATTCATATTATTATATTTTTTAGGCAATTTAATAAATAATATAACATCGAAATGCCGTTGCAATAAACGACATGCAATTACCGCATCCGCCCGCCTACACTCGTTCCTTATATTATCGAGAGGCAACGGATTTTTATGAAATCAACGTGCTTGTTATTTCATTCTGATTATTATTATGATTTATGTATATGATATATAAAAAAATACTATATCAACTAGGTTTCTGCTTGTAGGCCCCAGCATTCAGCAAATTCCGTGTCCAAAATGCAAAATGTTGTAACCAAGGAGTGTCATGTAAATTTCTTTAAAAATTTGCTAAAGTCGAAATAATGTGATTGTGGCCAATTTTATGCGAAGATGAATTCTCGCATGTAAGTCTCTCAATGCATATTTTCAATGTATGTGTTTTTAAATTCCAGTACTTACACACAAAAACGAATTAACATGTAAATGAAGAATTAACATAGCAGTAATAGAGAACGAAAAGCCAACGTTGCTATTGTCATCATTAGTAAAATATACTTAACTAATATAGGTAGGTACCTATCGATAAATGTTTCAAAGAAATAAAGTAAGGGATAATTCTTTTTTTTTATTTTAACACTTCAAAATCTTTTTCAAATTATTCGTCTTAAGTTAGGCGCTCAATTCATATTCAAATCCTGATAACAACACAAAAATAATTTTAAAATGAACAATAGGTAAGTACCTAACCTAGCCATAAACACAATAACTTTTTTAAAAATAACAAAAGATTCGGCTAATTACAAAGACTTATTAATCTGTACTCGAACCGATAAATCTGCAACGTTCCCCTCTCTAATTCTATAGCTTTTTTTATCTGTGGCGGCGTGTTCCCGCTATTAAATGACAGGTAGCTGGGTGCCATTGTGCATAGATACGAACAGGTTGGAAATTTTGTCACACTTAAATGGTGTAATTTCCTTATAATATCTTATCACATAATCTTTTGTTAATCAATACGTTAATGCTTGTGCTAGACAAGAAAAGACAAGGGACATTTTTAATGTCGACGTGTATAATTAATAATGTGTGTTTACTTATGTATTTTCATTGGTTAATAACGTAGACGTCTCTATCGTACCCAGACGGTCTGTCCTCTATTGTAAAATAGATAATTATACTAGATATTATTTCGATATACGATACTATTATCCGTAATTATAAGTACGAAGTTAACTCTTCATCCATAATATACCGAGGTACTTATTAACCTGTTGTTCTACGCGAATAAAAAAAAATATGTCGGACGAATTTTAACACGTGTTTCGTATTCACAATGTACAAAACATGACCAACATAATCATCAATTAACGAACAAATCTTTCCGCTCTTTAATGAAGCTAGTAATTAATAATTATGTTTAATAATGGTCATACTCATCATATCGGGTTCGAAGCGTGCCCGAGTCCATCGGTACGTAGACGATTAGTACAAATTGTCATTTTTCCGTTCACCGCATTAACTCGTGGAATATTTTGATAAAGTGACCATTAAACAACACACCGTACCTTTTGTAAGTGCCACATAGTGAGTTTCAAGTAATCATTTACTTAGAAAACAGTCCTAAAAATAATTAGAACGACATGACTCATTCGTTATACGACATCGTCTTCTAAATAAATTTCGCGAGCGTTACTGATAAAAATAAACCCCACACAGTCGGAGATAACGACTCGGTATCAATTATTATGTAAATGATATCTTGAGACGCATGATGTAGTTCATAAAATATGCAAATGTCATAACCTACACATCGACACAATAAAGAACACATAAACATTTGGAGTGTAACAGTGGGTGTAGCTGGGAGAAAGCACGCACTCATGCGGTGCGATCACCGATAATGAACGCGTGTCGATACCCGGTCGACAATATCTCATCGGCGTCAAGCGTAGGCCGCCGCCCACTCGAGTGCGCGCGCGCCTCTCTGACTAATACCACCTACGTCCCGCGGAGCAGCTACCGAGCTACAGCATGCGCCATGGCGCCACAACACACACCAACAACAACACACGTCACACATCAACACACGACACCATTGCGGAACCTTCTCCCTCGATGCCACCTCATTACCCAAGCTCTCTCATTTAGGGCGCTGCGGCTCGCGACTGTAATTCTGTCTGTCAATAATTATTACGGCGCGTAATCCGTGATTGATGAACGGCAACAGTAGCCGAGAGCCGAACAGAGTATAATTGACGCTGGTATTGTGCTCCGCCGGCCGCCGCCTGATTGATCGCTTTACACCGGCATTACGTTGCAACACTATGTGCATAAATCTGATCTTAATTAGACGTAGCTTTAATTAAATGTGTGCTGATGAAATATAAGCTCTATTTATGCAGCAATAACATTTTGATTAATTGCTGATGCAACAATCGGAGCAAAACATAGTGACAAAATACTGTGCTACGCAGACCCCGTAGCGGAGTCGTAGCCAGGGGCTACGTGACTCCGATACATTTTTATAATTTTTGTATGTTTAACTCACGGAAAACAAAGTTTAGTTTTCCGAAAATTATAAACTGAAAATATAGATTTACTGAGATCTTTAGCTACTGTTTTGATAGCCTGTGTTTAATAAATCTTGCTACAGTTGTCTCAATGTCGTAGCTATTGAGGCAGTTAGAATCTATAAATGGTAAGTTCTAAACATCGACAGCGGCCTAGCTTAGTCAGTAGCAGCTAACATAGAATCCGTCCGCAACACCGGCAATTACCGGGGCCAGGCGTCGCGGCGTGCGCCCGCGCCGCCGATTGTTTACGGCGCGCACGCGCGGCGCGGCGCGTGTCCCCCCGCGCTCCCCGCCCCGGCGGCAGCTGCTCCGCACAGGTGGCGCGTGTGGGAACTCGACGGCTCCGTGCGTTCCCACGATCGCGCGCCCTCCGCTCCCTATATAAGCCCCCGCCAGGCGGACGTACCGCATTCCGCGTTCGACGCTCAACGCAAACGCACACCTCCACTCGCTACACACAAATGTCTAACATGTCTTACGAGATCGCGTATTCGCTCGCAGACGACGGCCCGCAGCCAGTCTCGCGTACTTATCAATATCGCAAAGTGATGAAGCCGATGCTTGAGCGCAAAAGGCGCGCTCGCATCAACCACTGCCTCGACGAACTCAAGGAGTTGATGGTCAGCACTCTTCAGTCTGAAGGAGAAAATGTTGCAAAATTGGAGAAAGCTGATATTTTGGAATTGACTGTTCGCCATCTTCACAAACTTCGCCGTCAGCGCCGCCTATCGCTGAATCCCACTGTGGATGCTGATCGTTTCCGTGCTGGATTCACTCATGCTGCCAACGAAGTGTCTCGCTGCTTGGCTTCAATTCCTGGTGTGGATGTGAGGCTAGGAACTCAGCTCATGACCCACCTGGGACACCGCCTGAACGACATGCAGCGCGCTGCTGCCGCGGCTGATACTCCTCCGGCGAGCCCGCCCAGCCCTACTCCATCCAGCGCCAGCTCGACCTCTGGTTACGTCAGCCCATCACCACCTGCATCGCCAGTACACATGCACACCGCCACCCCCCTGGACTGCACCACCAGCTCGTTCACCAAGAGCCCCGCAGTGTGGCGGCCCTGGTAAGCAGAGTGCCCGGAGCTGGCGGACCCGGCTCCGCGGTCACATCTGTTCCAGCACCGTCGGAGCCGCACGCGCGCTATGTGTCCGCTAACATCCAGAAACTAGTGAAACGTGTCGAGGATATCAACATAACTTTAGATCTCACAATCAGTTAACATATAAGTTAAAATCATAGATCGTAAGTCCAAACATGAAAGCTTTAAAGAAATTAGGTTGTAAGTGTACTTGTGATATTAAAGAGTAAATATTATTGTTTAAGAAATGTTGTATCGAACGGTTGTTCGTATTGTTATATTTTTATCGTTGCAAAGATTTCACAGAAACGTGAAAAAAAATACAAGAGTAAATTAATAAAAAAATATTATCTACCCTATTTCTGTATTTTATTACACTGACCTACGAAGCCCTGAATATACACTAACGTAATAAAATCAATAACATGATTATTGAAATGTTTATAAATAGATTCGACTGGAATCTGCCAAAGTATAAATGAAACATAACAAATCAGACAGTGATAATACACATAACGAGGTTAAGGGCACGACTCGGACCTCTGACACGCTGGCCCGGAGCGCGTGCTCGGTAACTTTCCTGTTTACAATATTCGTACACATTCGGCGTGTCGCTGCTCGCTGGTATATGTGCTACATCGACGACATGTCCATACTTTCCACGGACAGTAAAGGCCAGTCAGTGCTGCACATGGTCACAGGCCTTGTAAACAAGCTGTCTATGAAGATGTACGCAACCATAATTAAGATAGATGTTCGAGAGATGTAATTCACTGAGAAAAAATGTTGTGATACATTAATATCTTTCTTCTGCAACCTCATTTACGCAGTACAGAGAAAACTACGTCTGGTATCACATGTCCAAGGTAGTAAAACTCATTATCCAGTGTTTTTATTCCTCATTCAATGTAGATATCGGTGAATACATTTAAACCCGGTTGCCGATCAAGGTGAAGTCGAACATTCATGAAAACAATTTACATTGACGCGTCATTGTATCTACATTGTTATTAATTAGAAAAAGAATGTAAATATTCAAAATAGTAATCAATTCCGTAGACCGAATAAAAGTCATTAAGGCCACAGGCCTGATTATATTATCACCATATTATACGAACTGTCACTGAATAGAACTATCAACACCACCATCCTCCCACAACAAATGTTTTCGTAACGGAGTTAAATAAAAACGAGGATAGTAGCGCCATCTCTTAATGATCTATGGAAACTTAAATGTTTCTTACTCGTGACATCTAGTGTAAAGCTTTAAAACTAAGTGAAGCTTTAGCATGGTATTCCAATGGAGCTTTATGAATGGTGAGATGAACCACAACAACAGCAATACATGGCAACAGCATAAGGAACCCAAAGTGTAGAAAAGTGATTCTTTTAAATAGTCGTTATAGTTGAACTTTTTGCTGTAATATCCTGTTCTTTGTTTAAATGCGTGTCGTGGCAGCCTTTAAGTAAGGCTAGGTATACAATGTTAAAATATTATTATGTTAAAAAGCTATCGTGTATTTTGGCGTATGCTTTGTTGGTTGCCCTTAAATAAATAAATAGTTTTATAATATACTATACTATATAGTAATATTTTATAATAATACAAGACAGGACTTTAGGTACTCATAGATATTAATGTTAAAAAATATTTTAATGTAGAATTTAACCAAATTAGATTTTTTATTTCCTATCATCATAATTTCTATTGAAATACTATTACTCTATTATAACACTACTATTCTAGTGTTACACAGTATTTTGCGTACTACAGCAAATTACAAAGGCAACAAATCCTTCATAACAAATAGGTTGAATCTAATCATCAAATCACACACCACAAGCCCATGACAGTCCACGACTATACTAGTATAAGCCCCCCCCCCCTACTGCCTATATTGATAAGCCGCGGAGAACCTAACGGGTTACCGGGGCTCCGGCTCGAAGTGCAGGAGTAGGAAACGGGGTGGTTTTTAGTCAGTAAGAGTCTGACACTCCCTTCCGCCTCACGCAGGCAGGAGATGACATTCGATGATCCCCCCCCCCCCTTAAAAAAACTGCCTATATTGATATTTGGCAGAAGGCTTGAACGCAGATATATCAGTCCTTTAGTATTATCTTGCAACATCTGCAAAAAGGCAAGAGTAGAGACAAATACAGTCTACTTTACTGTCACGTTACACATCACGCCCTATCATCGGCGTCGCCTAATTGCTCAACTCCGGCCACACGTCAGTCCTCATGCACAGATAACTGATAAACTTATTTATTCAAAGAGACTTCCTATTGCATCATTATCTGAGATTAATTATTTTTATAATTACGATCTGTGGGCAAATGAGTTTTATCGAAAAGGCAAAGATAGTATGGGGCAAGATAAACTATAATCTGTTTACAGATAAAATGTACAAAAACTTCGCAATAGGGAGGCCCTACAAGAGTCTCTGTGTTCTGTTGACGATGTGTGAAGTTCTATGCAAATGCGTACGTCACATGATGATCAAACAAACGAAAACTGAAAAAATACAAAATTCGTAAATACCCCGTTCAGGGGTTAATCGAGAAGAATAAAGGGGTCTCGTGTCCGACTTCGGGGTCATACGAAGTTCCACTGAGCTTTTTTGTTCGATCGTTACTTATCTTTCTTTCTTAAAAAAACGTTGCACCACGCAAGAATTTTCTAATTTTCGTAGGTGCGTTTACAAACATAAAAGTTCACATACACATGTCACCCAGACCTGAAACAACAATCTGTGGATCACACAAACAGTTGCTCCGTGCGGGAATCTAACCCGCTACACGTTGCGCTGCAGCCGGTTGCCCAGTCACCGCGTCAACCGTGCAGTCTTATACCTATGTGCTGCTTCTTCTGTTAAATTTATCTCTAATGACGTTTCCGTTTGTAGACGTCATTCCCAATCAATACTACCTACGTTCTCTTTCGTTAGTCACTGAAATATAGCGGAACAGGAAAATTATGTACGGCGTAAACTGTCACGTCATATAAATTCTAATACAGACGCAGGAATAGATGTTTCAGTGATGATGCGTCATAAGTCACTCTTTATTACGTTTTTAGTGACTAGGGTGCGATGTTCCTCCGACTAGGCGAGGTGATCATACCTAGTGACCTACTGTCCAATATTTGTGGTTGAGATTTTCTACGGATATTAATCTGAGTTCATTTCATTCATTCATTATGACGCCATCTGTAGATTTATCGTCGAAACTTCTATGGCCGTCGCTACTCATTAAAACTTACCTGCCTACACCTATGAGGTAGACCTTATCAACATAGTCCCGTAGTAGTCTACAAATGGGCCTGCAGTTGTTCTGCATAAAAATGCTTGCTATTGTCTCCAGCAGTTTGGCAGCCGGATTGCACAGTTCAATACTGAAGATTTTTCAGAAATTGTGTCACTATTGTGCAATAGTGATTTAGCACAATAATTTATTGCAATATACATATAAACAATCAGCTATCATAGTACCTGATATATCAAATCATTACTAGTGAACATACGATTAACGAGATATCTCAGAATCAGACCAACAGATCAAGGTATTAAAATTTTATCTGACTATACACACTAAATGTATACAGATAGTGGTTCCTCCTGGCTTCCCCTAAAGAATAAATAAAATAAAATAAATAAAATAAAATAAGCCTTTATTACTGAGGTTACAAATTTACAATTTAGTCTATATTACTATACTATACATCAGTAGTTTTACCCCCAGCTTGTCCTTCGACATAGGCCTCCTCCAAAGATTTCCAGTTTTCCCTATCCCTCGCAATTCTCATCCACTCTAGTCCAGCAGTTTTCCTTAGGTCATCTTCCCAGCGTTTTGGTTGTCGCCCTTTGCTCCTTTTCCCATCTCTGGGGTACCATTCTGATATTGTCTTTGTCCATTTCATATTCCTCTCTCTTATCATATGCCCTGCCCATTGCCATTTTAGTGTTTTACATAGTTTCCCTGTATCTTTAAATTTAGTTATTTCCTTAATTTTTTCTAGTCTAGAAAAAGAATAAATAGTGGATGACAAATACTGTGTTATTTCAGAAGCAAGTTCGAGTGCTTTTTGCATCTTCACTTTAACATCATAGATAAGTAAAAAGTTCGTTCGCGTAAGAAAATCATGGATGTTATAACAAGAAGAAAATCATGGAAACCTTGAGAAAAACCATGTCACTTGAATTTTATAAACATTTTAAATCCAAAAATTACCCAATTATCAACTGAACCCAACTAACCTAACAAACAGCAATTAGTCATTTTATTATACATTTATTTACATATTCGTACAATGTACATAGATTATATTTACTCATCCTAAGGAAACAGGGCCCACCCACTAAGACAAAGACGTAATTCAATATTTTGCTCCGGAAGGCTTAAAATTCCATTCCTATATTTCCCAATACCTAGATTATTTATTACGTTTAGCAAAGCACGTGCTAATTACATAATATGTTTTTATAATTTTATTATCTGTGTAATCACCTATACCAATGAATGTTATCTATGCTGCGATACTGCCGTTCCAACAGTGTTCGTTTAACGAATTCGTATTTTGAATTTAAATTTTTAAATGGAATAATTGATGAAGCTTTCTAGTTGAATGGCTGCAATGACTATTTAGTATTTATTTTCATACAGTTTACTTGCTTTTTTCATGGATTCTGATTCTGTTTAAAATAAAACTGATAACAAAGATAAAAATAGGAGAACTATACTTTATCATTGTAATAGATAAACAAATTTATTGCAAAAAAAATAGAAAACTGCTGTGTTGATCACGCGGTTGTAAGTATGATAAACAAGCAAGGAGATGTCTGGCTTGAATCATAGTTCGAGAAACGTATAGATCTACATAAATTTTAGCAATGCTAAACTTAGTATTTCATTTATTCTTATTACTCGGAAGCGTATTCCTTTTTAAAAGGCCGGCAACGCACCTGTGACGTCACCCGTGCATTATCGCGG